TTCATTTATAAGTTATAACCTCTGAAAATAGTAAAATAATTGAGAAATAATTAAACATTATTTTTAGTGTGTGATATTTTGTCCACTATACCAATTAGATGTATAACTRTAACTAAATTCATCTTATGAATTGTTCAAAGTTTAAACCACAGTCTTCCAGTATCCCCATAAAAAAAAATCCAATGGCATTAAATCTGGGTATCATGCAGACTAAGGAGCGATGCCATAACTCATTAGTACATTAAGACATCTTAATATTTTTGGATATTTGAATACTGTGGTGTATACAGATCCACCTGTCAATCTTCAGGACTTAAAAAGCAACATACAGGCAGCATGTGATAGTTTAAGTGAGGACTAAATCAAAGCGGTAACTTCGACTGAATTTTGAAGGCAACTTAAATCATGTTCAGAACATAGTGGTGAAAACTTTGAACAATTCATGAGATTAATTTATTTAATACATTTTATTTTTATTTTAACTATTTTATTATACATTTAATTAGTACAGTTGACAAAATATCATACACTAAAAATAATGTTTAATTGTTCACACTTGTTTTATTATTTCCAGTAGTTATACACGAAAATTTCATTAAACAACAATTATGCATAAATCCAAATTTTGACTTACTCTAACTTGGTCAGTTTTGTAAATAGAAAAACACTTTTAATACAAAAATTGTTTTTTTTTTTAATTAAAATAGAAAAATTTACAATCTTTTTAACATGATTACACCAAGTAATTGTGTTGAAATTTTATCCAGGCTGGACGGCTTGAGGGAAAGTAGAGTCCATTGACAATATGAACTATATTTTGTTAGAATTAATTATAAAATCACGTGGCCATTTTCTTTTGAGGCAACAGGAGGGGAGGGTTAGTCAGTTAGTGTGTTAGACGCTTGCTTGGAAATTAGATGATTAAAGTGATTTAGGACATTTTTATGAAATTTATTATTATTATATGATGTCAGAGTAGATATTGTTGGAACGTTAAGATCATGATGCAGGGATCTGTTAATTTCATATTATGGGACATTAGTGAGGAGACGAARGTTTATTGATTGAAATGCTTGAAATATTTGTAGGTTAGAGATTTTTTTAGAACCCTAAAAACRTTAAAAAAAATATTAAAAAATAATCTGTCTGAATATGTAGGTAAAAAAATGTAAGTTGTATTGCACATGTGTACACTAAAAGTGTTGAACTTTAGAAAATTATCTGAAAATATATATTTAGGTGGTCTCTATTACTTCCCAAACCTCCCATTTCAATACAAGGTTATCTACCTGAGGTATTTAGTGTTCCTTAAATTGTGATCACAGTATACAGAGTGATTCTTTTATCAA